TTTTTGGTTCGGTATTTTATGCCTTTTAATTTTCTATACCACTGTTTTTTAATAGTTCAGGATGTCTAGTTGTCCTCTGTGCACATGACAATTCTCTGAGCCTAGGGTGGTCTCTACATCCCTCTGTTTGGGATGTTAATAAGGGCCTTTTTCAGGCCTCCATATGGAGGAGACATTCATCCTTTGAGCCAAATTCTGCTCTCTCTCAATTCAGTACCTCCTGATTAAAGTCTGTTCCTGTAGCTGGAGATGTTTGGGACTTTGTCCTTGTAAACTGAGAGCAGAACTGGGTCCTTGATGAAGTTTACAGAAGCATATTTGAGCAGCTTAGGGCAGTGTGGAATACTATTCAGTGGCAATTTTTTTTTTTTTTTAATTTGGAATGAAGGTTAGTTATCATCCCTCGCAGGTGGTTGATTTGTGGAAGGATAGAGCAGAATGCACTGGAAAACTGAGTCTTCCTGCCTAAATTTTCCACATGTAGCAGGAGAGAGACACTTGTTCAGTGTACAGGTGCTTTGCATGGTTCTGATGTCAAAATGCAAGCCCTTTCTTTGTGTTGTAGACACTGAAATAAAAGAACTATTATATCAGTTTTGGTGGTAATTTGGTTGTTAAAGTAACTAATTTTCTATCTAAACATGAGGAAAAACTTCTTCACTGTGAGGGTGCTGGAGCCCTGGCACAGGCTGCCTAGGGAGGTTGTGCAGTCTCCTTCTCCGGAGACTTTCAAAACCCACCTGGACGTGTTTCTGTGTGATGTGCTCTAGGGCATCCTGCTTTTTTTTGGACTAGATGATCCCTAGAGGTAGGTCCCTTCCAACTCCGAGGATGCTGTGATTCTGTGTAATTTGTGGACAATGGGGCAGGTCATCATCAGACTAACTTCTGCTGTAGTTTCTCTCGTAAAAGGGCCCTTCTCCCAAGCCAAAGTCATGCTTCTGCACTTGATTTCTTTTTGCTTAAGGTAAATACGTTATTTGAAACGAACCAGATCGTCTAATCAACACTTGTTAGCTGCAGTGCTTGCCTCGAGACTGTCTCAAATTTACATGTCTTAAATTTGCATGTCTAAAACCTGTGCTTCTAAATACAACTCCTTTTTTTTATTTTAACAAAAAGGAGCTATTTCTATGTCTTTAAATCTTCCCTTTCCTGCACATCTATTCTGTTAATTTTGAAGCACTTGTACTCAGCAAACTGGCTGCCATCC